CAAATATCAGATATGATTCCTACATTATCTAAGAAGGACACAGCGTGAGAATTAAACCATAAAAAGAATTGATAGGTTGAGAAATGAGATTAAATTAGTCCTTTATCATGATGAGTTGACGCATTCAAGTAAATCCAATGTGTGTAAACATCTTTATCACACACTTATCACTTTGGGCTGGTAATTGTAAAAAGTGTTTTTGGTTTAGTGAATCTGATCAACATTTCTCACTCTTCTTTTTAAGCTGAACTTTACGTGAAGGTGTTCCTTCAGGCAGAGCTTTCTTGCTCTGGATACAGTTTGTTTGCATTTTCCTCGCTGGCTCTGCACCCCAATAGACACAGGCGTCCACTAGGATGATAGATGAGTGACAAAGTGATGACATTTCATTGTGTCGGTTTATACACAAACCAAAGTTGGAAATGCAGCACAGGCGGAAAAACTCCCATGAGCCATTGCTTGAAAAGCTGTGTGTTTTGAATAGGTTTTGGCTTGTGTGCGTGTGTGTGTGTAAACATAAAAGTTTGCCTCACTGAGTTATTTCTGCAAACTCCTGCTTTGGTAAGTTGTGCCAATAGTTATGGTGTCACAATACAACTTTTTCACTTGCGATACGATAACCATATCGCAGCTCTGAGTCTCGGCCGATACCAGTATTGACCCAATATGATGGCACCATGAATCGTACAAACTTTTGCTACATATTTTGGTGGTTTGCTCAAACAGAAAACAATAGTCAACAACAACAATTGACACAGTCATTATTAAATGGTGCCGCAAAGTAAATGCTAGTAGACTGATTTAATTGTAATGCTCATACAGGAGATTTTAGATGCAGGCTGATGCGAGCCGATATTAAATTTTTAGCTGATATTGGACTGATTTCAGATATCGATATCTGAAATCGCTGAACCACTAGCATCTCTTTTAGTCTACGCTTGATTGTTTGATTATATTGCATTTAACACGACTTCACTTTAAGGGGGAAAAGCTATTAGGTGCTTTTCTGGGGTAAATTGGTACCATGGTAGGTAGTTTTTACTTATTTTATTTATTTATTGTTAAAGGCAGTTTAGTCAGGATTAATGTGCAAAAATGTCAGAAAATCTACCTGCTCCAGAGTAAAATATTTGAAATTTTTTTCTCACAATGCTCTTTTGATTTGAAAACCATTATTATTGTTTAGAAAATACTAAAAACAAGTGAAGCGTTCCATAAAATATTAAAGATCCAAGTGCACAGTCACATTTTAACTTTTTTAACTCTTTTTTTCTCTTTACCTGCAGATAAAGGAAAGACAGAAATTCTTCTCAATTTTCTACATGTCGATCAACGCCGGGAGCGTTTTGTCGACGCTGATAACGCCCATCCTCAGAGGTGAGCGTTCGCCGTTGTAACGTTCAGCATGCGCCGCGCATCCCTGGCGTCGCTAAACGCCGTCTGCCCCCCTCAGGTGATGTGAAGTGTTTCGGTGACGACTGCTACGCCCTGGCCTTTGGCGTTCCTGCAGCGTTGATGGTCGTGGCTCTGGGTAAGGATTTTATCGGCTCCTCTTCGCCCCAGGTATTTAAGAAGCAGCAGGGAATTCAAATATTTACAGAACAGCCTGAGAAAAATGTGATGGAATCTGGTGTCTGGTATTCAAAGACGATAAGAGACCAAATTAATATTTGTTTTTACACAAAGTCGTTACAGATGGATAGAAATGTTCGATTTATTTATTTTTGTTTGGTTTTACTGAGCCTTTTTTTTGTGTGTGTGTGTGAATGTGGAGCCGAAATCATATTTGGTATAAAACATATTTGTCATAATTGCTACAGGTTTTAGCAAGTATTAAAATACGCAAACTGCAGTAGAAAAATCTAAACGTTTATAATCTACGGGGACCTTGATGCCGTTGCAGGATGTGGGCGTCATTACAGGCTGCAATGTGCATGCTGAGGCTGTTTTCACAAGCCGGGCTTCACCCTGATCAAGGCCCGATCTCATCCGTTGTGACGGCCAGTTTTCTCTGCCCGTCGTTTCCCCGTCAGCCCTGATCCGTGCGGGATTCATGCCAGATCTCCTGCTGACTGTGGGAGCAAACTGTGACACCAATGACGTACAGATGGATGTCGAGTTTAGGCTGAAAGGAGCTTTAGCATTCGAGGTTTAATTTGTGTTGTTGTTTTGAGCGAGGAAAAAATAAAAACGTTCTTTCCAAGAATGTTTAACTGAAGATCAACTATGTGTTACTTAAAGAAAGACGGTCAGGATGGGAACCGTATTTTGTGAATATGCGGTTTATTTCAGTAAACGGCAGACATTTTCAAAGAGAAGAACTTGAGTTTAAGACATTTTTAAATGCGTTTTGCAAAAATGTATTAAGCCACAAGAAATAAAATCCTAAGATCGGTTTACTGAAGAGCAACTGTGTGCGACAAAAAAAATCTTCAAGATGGTACTTTAAAAAAAAAAAAGAAACGCTAAGAACCCCTGGAAAAAGTGAAAACGGTTTAAAAAAAAGTTAGATAAAGAAATGTAGGTAAAAACAAACAACTTTAGGACCTAAGAGATGAAATTTAAAAAAATCAAACAAACTCAGGATGACTAAAAGTAGAGAGAACCAAAGAAAATGGTCAAAATGAGCAAGTATGCTTTGTGAAATATTTTAATAGAGGACAGACTTTTGGAAAGACTTCTGTTTCCTCTCGTGTTTGGAAAATAAATCGGTTTGAGCTGATGCTAGTTCTCCATCTGGTCCTCCACAGCTGTGTTCATATTTGGCAGCGGCATGTACAAGAAGACGCCGCCTCAGGGAAACGTCCTGGGGGAAGTCTGCAAATGTATCGGCGTGAGTCACTTCATCTCCCACTCCTGTCAGGCTTAGGGTTAGACATGAGTGTGCGTGGGATTAGCTCAGTGCACATTGAAGTAGGATTTGTTTCTTTAATTCTTATTTCTTCCTCCGGTCAGTTTGCCATCAAAAACCGCTGGAACAGCTCAAAAGATGGCCTCAAGAGGAAGCACTGGCTGGACTGGGCTGAAGACAAATACCCGGTAACGACCCGCAAAACGCCATCGCAGCTTCTTCACGATGTAAACTCGCTTAAACCTTCACGAATCCATCCGCGTTTCTGCTCCTCTGTTTAACAGAAGCGACTGATTCAGGAGATCAAGATGGTTCTGCGGGTTCTGGTGCTCTACATCCCCCTGCCGATGTTCTGGGCTCTGTTTGACCAGCAGGTACAGGCTCACATTCATCCCGCTTAGCAACGACATTAAAGCCCTGACCATTTAGCAGCTTGTGTAATTGACCGATTGTAAATTATGTAATAGGACAAAACATGCATTGCCATAAGAAATACTGAAGTTCAAGAGTTTTCTGCTTTCACTTTTTAAATTATTTTTTAAACAATTGAATTATTTTCTCTTCAACCTCTTGAACAGAGAACAGCCAGTAGGAATATTGCAATCCACAGTTAAGGAAACATCCAGTACAAAACATCATGAGCATTGAATAGTAGCTGTAAAGAGTAAAGCTTACTGCGTAGAAGCTTAATCATTAATTTTTTGACCGTAAGTGCTGCTTGGACAGAGTATAACTAAAATGTCCAACTAGAAATACGGCTGATTGTTTGAATCCAATGAAGATTTTCCCAAAACATGGGTGTCCAAAGTGTGGCACAGGAGCCATTTGAGGCCCTTGAAATGATTGAGTGTGGTCCCTCCAATGCAATGTAAGAATAGTGCAAATGTGACTGACTAGAACAGGCAGTTTATAGGATGGAGAAGGCATTAAAAAAGCAAAACATATTTTGTTGCTGAAATTAGCCTATGAAAATTGACCCTAAATTTTCAGGAATTGTATATCTGTCTGCTAATTAATGTCAGACCTTTTCTTATATTTTGGATCTACTGCAGTGAACCCCTGGTATTTCTGGGGATAAGGAACCAATGTCAAAAATGCTTCAAACTGCCTATTTTAATAGTTAAACCTCAAAATGCACTAAAACAAACAGTGGTAACCATCCTGGCTCTCCTGCAGAAGCTACATCTACAGTCTTCCTTATTTCCACTCTTTAGGGGAACAGCCAATCGGAGCCCCCCCCCAAAAAAAACAACAACCCTGAATGGTGCGTCTTGATTGGCTCCTTTGCAAACATTAGCCAATCATGTGTCAGCTAGGTTTGAAGTTCATCTTATGAAGATGCATTTTCTTTAAAGTATGTCAGATATGCTCTGCGTAAAAATGATTCATGAATACTGAATGGTGAATATCCTGGGATTGACTGCAATTTAGTTCTTTCATTATAGTCAAAGTTTCCTAAATATCTGAACATGTTAAAGTTAAAAAAAAAACATGCAAACATTTGTACATCTTAGCTCATCGTCAGCATTACTGCTCTGTGAGAGAAGCTCTACTTTTACTGACCCTGAGCATGAAACAAAGTATCAATTTGTATATTAGTATCCGGTCAAAGCTTGTTTTATTTAATTCTCTACATGGAGCAATGAAAACTTCACGACATTTACGATTCCTGACTTTCAGTTTTGATGAGCTCCTCCTTCACTTGGTGTAAAAACAGTTGGAAAAAGATTTAAAAAAAAAATAAAAAAAACTACAGTTTTCATCGATGGCATATGAAGTATTTATTCAGCTCTATTTTTATTATTTTTGTGATCTCAGGGTCATTCTGCCGATGCAACTCTGAGCTGGTTTCTCTATTGCAGGGTTCCCGCTGGACTCTCCAAGCCACGCGGATGAACTTGGCTTTTGTAAGTCTGTCTCTTTAATCATTTGAATGTGCCAAAAAAAAAAAAAAAAACATTAAATGCTGACATTTGCACTTTGATATCTGTGGGTGGATTTTGATGTGAATCCGATTGCACAAACCGTCCCATAAAGCAGACCTTCCTCCACGTTCTGACGTTTTATTCCAGTAACTTTTTATTGTTTATGGCTTAGATAACCCATGCAGTGCCCAGTTTTGGATTCACTTAGTTAAATTTTAATTTTCTGTGTCATAACAGGGAGAATCCTTCACAATTAAGCCCGACCAGATGCAGGTACGTGCAGCTCATTCTGCCATCGGTTTCCTATATGCTGTGAATAAAGAACAAACTATTACAGGATGTCCAGACAGAGTGCGATGCATTCTCATGAAACCTTCGTAAAGTGACGCGATTTTAATGTTCATGAGTGGAAATTATGGGCTTCAAAGTTTACTTTTCATTTGGGGGGGGAAAAATAAAACAATTTCCCATTTTACTTGAGTTCTGCAATATTTTATCTTCATTTCATTCTTTGTTGAAAATCATCCTACATTAGACTGCATTTCTTTCATACTTCTTCACTCTGTTTATGCCCCTTTTCCTCTTTTGAACAATAACCGCTTGAAACCTAGGAGGAAAAATGTATAGAAAAGACTTGCAGATAATAACTGTGATTTATATAGATTATAGGGAGTTATTATATTTTGAGAAACAGATGTAAATATAGAGGAAGTTTGTTTGGAAGTTTTGTCCTCTCCTTTTAAGACAAAATGTTTAAAATGTCCAGTTTTATGGTACAAATTACTTAAAAAAATGTTTATTAACAAATTGTTAGATTACACTATTTATCTCAACACCCATTTTTAAAGTTTTTTTTGTTTTTTTAACAATAAACTTTTTTTTTGTTTGTATTTTATTTTATCTTTGGCAATCAACTATTTGCGCTTTAAGGCATGGAATGCATGTTTAAAATGTCACCTTCACTGGGACAAAAATAAGCAGAAGCTACCCAAAACTCCTTATTTTTATATTCATAAATAACAAAATAAAAAATCAAAGCATTCAAAATGCCAAATATAATGAGAGAGAGCTGGAAATAATTACGAAAATATGCCTCAGGCCTGCTGAAGTGAAATTTCAGAGGAAAAAAAAAAAACCTTATCACCATGGCGATTACAGCAGACTTGTTTATATTAACTGTTAGATTTTTTTCACTAATTCTGATTTACTGATCTTTAAAGAAAAAAGTGTCTCGTTCCATTTCGTGTTCAATTGATTGCTGCTTTTTTTAAGCTGATTTTATTAGGAGCCACTGAAGCAAAAACTGTGACAAGAAACGGCCAAAACCGTCAGCGGATGTTCATGAGGCGTGTGTTTTTGCAGCTGTAGGGCCAAAGTCGGCAGAAATAAGCTACTAGTGGGGTCGTTTCCTGGCTCCAGGTTTTCATTTCTAGGAACACTCTCTGTATCTGCATTCGCACTTGATCAGCTCAACCAATCCAGTGGTTGGTTGAGCTCATATTGACCTAAAAACAACCAAAATGAATAGGAAAGTAACATTTCCCAAAGGTAAAATAGGTTGATTTGTATGATTTTCGTATAACGTTTGTCAAGTGTATGCTTTTAGTTTAGTTTTCTTTATTTCTTACTGACTGCTGTGCTTTGGTGACAATAGCGCCCTCTTTGTTTGTTCTATGCATCTTTGTGTCTGTCCCTCCTTCATGCAGCTGAGGTCATTTGAGTTCACATTCATAAGACACAAACATATTTTCTTTTGTTGCCACCTGTGAGTTTGATGTCATGTGGCTTTCAATGGCCGTGTTTAAAGGTTGACCTGTCTGTAAATGTACAGCAGAAATCTGTCACATTAAACCCCCAAAACTGTAAATGTTGTTTTGACGTGGTAGAACAAGATGCTATAAAAAATTTATTTATCTCGTTTTGCTTCTCTTTCCCCCCCCCCAAAAAAAATCCTCACATTTTATTTTTACATTTCAGTGTCGGTATTTGCATTTTCAAATTAATAGTCAAATGTTTTTTTTTTCTTCTAAGTTTTCAATTCTGCATCCACCGCATGAAGACCGCCGGTGTTAAAAGCCGCCGTCACTGTTATGTCAACACTTTTATGAGCGCTTATCGCTGCCATCTTCTCTTTAAGCTCATTATATTTTAACAATGAAGCGTTTATGAGTTCTGTTGAAGTTTTATTGGGCCATTAAAAGGCTGCTTTTCCTCATGTCCGCTGCCCAGTTGCTGAACGCGCTGCTGATTCTCGTCTTCGTACCCATCTTTGACCTCATCATTTATCCGCTCGTCGGCCTCTGCAGAATCAAAATCATGTGAGTAAACCGCTGTTGTTCTGGACGCTGCGGCCTCTCCACATTTGAGCTATCGACTCAAATACGGAGCGTGAATAAAATCAAAGAAAGAAATGACGCACAGTACTCAAGCAATATTACTTTGACACCAAAGTAAAGGACTAATTTAAAGAAAATGCAAATCTGCATCCATCAATATAAACTCTACAACTACTTAAAATTATTGCTGTTAAACTAATGTGGCAATACATTTGACCAATTTATTATTATTCACCGTAATAAAAACTCATGAGCTACATATATTATATGTCACGTTTCCTTCATTAAGATGTTCACAAACGCATCATCAGCCATTGATTAATTTTTGGACATAAAATGTTTTTGGTTTTTTTCTGTGATGGTTTCACAATGGAATAAAATGTCAAGGCAAACTTTGAAAAGTGTGAGCTACATTTTCACTGAAAAAGTGGAGAAATAGTCAAACAGATGAATTAAAATCATAAACCACTTTTAGGAAAGAGACATAAGAAAAGCTACCAAATGCAGGTGCAGCTGATTAACCTGGACAAGTAATTGCACTATAAAAATATAGAGATAAAATTGTTTACAATATGATCTTATTGGATAAAAAAAAAACAAAATAATGGCAAATTAAGTCATCTGTGGTACAAGTCTATCCTTTCAATGTTTTGACGTGTGTAAAAATTGTGACAGGGTAACATCAAGACTGTTACAAAATGAATAAATAAACGATGAGGAGCGATTTAACATCAGCTGCTGATTAAACGAACAATCCTCACAATAAAGACCTGAGGTGGAAGATCAGTGGTTAGGAAACGCCTGAATGATGGGCACAATCTTTAAGATGGTCGAAAACCATCGTCGAAATCAAAAGTTTGAGTAAGGAAAAAAGGGGAAAGGTTTGATTCTTTTGTCAGAAATCTGAATAAAAAAGTCACCGACTCGTCCTGGATCAAAAAGGAAATATCGACAAATATTAGAAAAATGTTTCTGCAGAAAAACGATGCAACACTGGTCTTCAACATCACGATCATCAAAGAGATGCCAACTAAACTGAGTTAAAATAATTAATTCTTGTTTTTTGATGCCTCCAATTCCTACATAGTACATGACATTGTCACTCTGCCTTCAGGCCTCTGAGGAAAATGGCCACAGGGATGATCTTTGCAGCTCTTGCCTTTGGAGCAGCCACCCTGGTGGAGATCAATGTTGTGGTACGTCTGAGCGCGAATCACGCCGTTACCGCAAGATTTTACTCTTAAAGCCTTTTATGTTTATCGGAGGTAACGCTGATGCCTCCTATCAGTAAATGTGTTTTACCTTTTAACGACGATGAATCGGTAAGGTGTTGATGAAGCGGCGTTCTGTCTGTTGACCAGTGTGATTGTGTCTGCAGAAAACGGTGGTGGAACCAGCACCTGCCGACCAGAGTCTGCTGCAGGTCTTCAACCTGGCAGACGGAGACGTCAGCGTGAAGGTCGCCGGCGGCAACCTGTTTCAAGACCCCATCAAAAAACTTCAGGTAACTTGAAAAACGCCTGGAAAGCCATTTAATTGTTTTAGTTGTCTTTTTGTTTTTTTTGTAAAACCAAGAACATTTATTCTTAGTTTTTGTTGTATTTGTTCCAACCTAATTTTTCTTTGTTTTATTTATTCTTTTATACCAGTAAACTAGCCTCAGTGCTACACAGAGATGCCATGAAAACGATTAAATAACATATTTCAACAATTTTATACCAAAATTTTATTTGCTGTTGGAAAACTCTTTACTGTTGTTCTGCTTCGGGTCATTAATGGTATTTTGTTTTTAGTTTTATTTTAAAAATTGTGGTTTTATGTTCATATTTTGACCGCTAACGTTCTGCTCTCTCTCTCTGTCTCTCAGGACCCCTCGGCATACGAGCTTCTCCCACTGGGGGCCCCCAACAAGGAACTGAGATTTGACGTCATGTTTAAGGAAACGTCGTATTCTTGCAGTCATGAATTTGAAGAACGAAAAGCTTACAGTCTCATCGTACACGAGAAAGCTCCTGGTATTGAGTGCAAACTTGTAGGTACACTTATGACTTTTTTTTTGATGATGGCTTTAATTGTTAAGGTTAACATAAGCTAAACATTTCTCGTGCAAGGTAAAGTTAATAACTGGTGTGTATATTAACAGTAGTCAGGAGACTTTATGTAGTTAGCTTTTCTTTTGTTGGCAATTTATGAAAAATAACTGAGTGTAGTTCATGTCCAAATGTCTGAAAACTGAAAGAATACCGCAGATAAGCTAAGAATACAATGCTAAAGTATGTTACTGATAGAAAACTGCCTCAGTGTCCATGTTTACTTTCAGGTGGAGGATTACATCACCAAAAATGAAGACGGGAACCCGAATGTGCGGTAAATGACGTTTGTTCCTGTGGATTGTATTGGTTTTCATGTAATCTGATCTAAATAAATCTGTGACGGTTTCCGTTGAATCCTCCACAGCTTCTTCAACACGTTGCCAGAAGCCATGAACATAACTGTGGGGGAAACGGAGTTTTACGTTCCCCAGAAATACAGCATGTCTGCAAGCAGCAGCGTGAATCGGGGACTGTGAGTATTACGCCTAAGGTGGACATCGGAATCAGAGTTATTGATTTCCTGACTCAATCAAGCTCCAATCCAACTTTTTTCCCAGCTACGCGGCCGTCCGCTGCAGCCACCAGACAAAGCAGTGTGAGAATCTCTACCTGGGCCTGCTGGACTTTGGAGCTTCTTACTCTATCGTCCTGGTGGAGGTAAAGACTCCTTCAACTAAAACTGATTTTATTTCCATCATTCTTGTAAAGCTTTGACCTGCTGTGTCTGAGAGATTTTAGTCGATTCTGATTTCTCTTTAAAAGCAGCGGCATAATCGGACATAAGAACAGCGTTCAGGATATTTCTTTCTACCCTTCCTGCCGTTAATGGTCAGTAATTATTTTTGTGAGAGTAGAGGTGATGCAACAGTGCAGAGAGCAGTTGTTGTAAAACAGGGGTCCCCAAACGTTTTCCTGCAAGGGCCACATGACTGTTCCTTTTTCTGGTCGGGGGCCGGTCTTAGTTTTTTGAGAAAGAAACCTTAGAAAAGTTTTGTTGACGGGGAGGGAGGGGGGAGGGAGAGTGAAACTGTGGACCGTGGGGGGGGGATTGGATTACTGCCGACGACATATTCGCGTTTGTATATAGATTTTTACCCGGAATGCAAATGGAAAAAGAACCGTGAGCGAAACGGTGACTGGTACTGACTGGTATATATGCCATTGAGGGAAACTAAGTTTCATATCTGCTCAAGAGCCCCCCTGGTGGCTGAAGGAAAATCCACATATATATGAAAAAAAAACACTGAATGCTCTCTGGTATTGTTCAGGGGGCCGGACCAAATGAGGAGGCGGGCCAGATCCGGCCCACGGGCCGTAGCTTGGGGACCCCTGCTGTAAAACATAAAAACAAAATGAATGGAGGGTTGACATTTAGCATCTTACATTAGCGACTAGCATGGATAGCATAGCTACTAAATACTTCACTAAAGAATGTTGACTAAGTAGAAGTTTGAAGCTCATTAGGATAAAACCTAGCACCTTATTGACATGCATGCTGTCGTCTTCTTGTTATCTGCTGAAAGTCTTGCTCTTTCTCACTTTATCACAGCCCAAGTGAACTGCACAAATGTCTCAACATGCACTAAACAATACGGTTTCTTTTTAAATGGTAAGCTCTACATCCTCCGGATTCATTTTAAAGACCTGACTGGACTAAAAATGGCTATAAAAGTAGCCGGGTAACAACCTCCACACTAAAGAGTGCTGGTATCACTTCAGATCACAGAAGAAGGTTACGTTTCCATCCTTCTCACCGCCAATCAGGGTTTAAAAAGAAAAAAGTTTCCAGTTCCTGTTGCCAGGCGAAGTCTGAGTGATTTCACACAGTTTGGCATAATTATAATATTTTGCACAACGTGACAGATATCTCTCTCTCTCTCTCTCTCTCTCTCTGTGTTTATCTCAACAGGAAGAAGGTAAAATTGTGGCTAAAAAGATGGAGGATGTGAAAGCCAACAACGTGCACATTGCCTGGCAGATCCCGCAGTACGCCCTGCTTACCGCAGGAGAGGTCATGTTCTCCATCACAGGCTTGGAGTTCTCCTACTCACAGGTCTGCCATGAAACTGTTAAAATAGTCTGTTTGTGTTGAGGTGCAGAATAAATAATATAGAAAAATAGAGAAAATGGCAGAAAGCTGCAGTTTTTCATGACGAGCTTGCAGCTAAATCTGCAAATAGAAAATAACTAATCCAGTTACTAAATGCCAAAACTACTTTGAAGGTGATTGAATAGTAAAGAAATCCAAATAATCTGGAACTCCAGCTCTTAAGGGTACAGCAAGAGATGTGTTTTTTATTATTATTATTGTTTTTGTGGGGGCCAGTTGTTTGAAACTTTAGATCATTGGGATATTCTTCGCTTACCCGTTTTGTCCTCCAGGCTCCGAACAGCATGAAGTCGGTGCTGCAGGCCGGCTGGCTGCTCACGGTCGCGTTCGGAAACGTGATCGTTCTGATTGTGGCCGAGGGGGCTGGACTGGAGCAGGTATCGCTTTAAGAAGACACCGAAAAAAAGACCTTTGACATAATTGAAGTCTTTCTAGCGACATAAACCTCTGTCTCTCAAGGGTTCAGTGTATTTACCACTTTTTGTGTGACATTTCCTCAGTGGAAAGAGTTCCTGCTGTTCGGCTGCCTCCTGCTGGGCGTCTGCATCATCTTCTCCTTCATGACCCACTTCTACACGTACGTCGACCCCGAACAGCTGAGCAAAATGTACGCCGGAGACTCGGGGAAGGAGGAGGAGGACGACGACGACAAGAAGAAGAAACATGACGACATTCCTCTGAACGAAAAAGAAACGAGCACCAAAATGTGATTTTTGCGACATAGGAAACGATTGTTTAATTTGTTTTATTTTTCAGGAATTCCTTGGTTATTAGACACTAAAGATCCAATATTGATGACATTGTTAAAATACTAATAATAATATATATATAATCTGTGAAATATTTCAATAGCCTACTCAATCTTGAGCTTGTAATCACACAGGAGGCACTGGAACCGGCTCGTGTATGTGTAACAATGTTTACCAGACGCAGTGATTTTTATTCTTTTTCCCTCTGATTGACAGTGTTTAACTTTATAATCTGTATATGTTTGCTGCTTACTTTGTCGCACAGTGAAATTCGTGAAATAACGTGGTTTACAATTGGTTTCTGAAACAATACTCGACAGCAAAAGAAGCTTTACATTGACACTTTTTTTTCTTAAGCTAAATTACAGTTTCATCAGGCTGGACTGTAATCTGTGATCACATTTACTGTAAGTATTATTACATGGCAGACCATGAAAACATCTGCTGTCCATCCAGCTTCTTCTCTGCCGCGGTCCTTTATGTTCATGCCGTCTTGATTTACAGGGAGCCTGTAATTCTGGCATTAATATGACCACTGTAGCAACGTCGTCGTTCTTCTTCTGTGGTGTCGTAATCTAAGCCAAAACCAAAGCTATAGACTTAATCCGTCAGGTTTCGTGGCCATTTTTTTTGTTTTTCCATTCAGGGAAGGTGGAAATCGAGCTGCTCCCAATGAACCTCTGTAAATAAATCTCTGATGGTGAAAGGATCTTGTTTTTATTAATATTTGTAAACGTGTCATTTTCTCTTTTAAAAAAAAAGATTAAAAAGGAAATCTATGGTAAAGCCATTGGTACTTCTGAATAAATATCAAGGAAAAGTTTAAGTAATTGAAAAATTACATGATATTGAATCATTAAACACAGTTTTATACACACTACTAAAGGATATTTAGCTTCTGAGAGAAATTTCAAGATGAACCCAAAATGCACCTGGACAGGGGAACCTAATATGATCTTCTCTTAACCTTTGAATGCACAGATACAACTGTTCATCCATTTGGTACTTTTTGCACAACTTCCTGTTCTCCAACAGGAAGTTGGTAAATTCACAGCAGGTGTTTGATCCAGGACCTGACAAATTTCCTGGTTCAATC